ATAGGGACTACCTTAAAGGCCAAAGTATATACGATTTGGGTACATGGGCCTCAGGGATATGGGGGTTTTCGAAAATAGGGGACCCTAATATAGTACCCTAAATAGTAGGACCCTTATTATAAGGACCCCAAAACAAGGGTCCCCCTATTTTCGGAAACTCCCATATAAGCCCGTTAAGCCCAGGAAAAGCTGGCGCACTTCTCCAAGGTGCTAAGTCTCCCACTGATTTCCCAGTATTCCCCGGAGGGGCGGCAGAAATACCAAGAGCTGAAGGCGGCTCTTTTGGGTTTTAGGGGTTATAGTGCTTAGGGTTCAGGGGTTATAGGGCTTAGGGTTGAGGGGTCTAGGGCTTAGGGTTCAGGCGTTTAGGGCTTAGGGCTCAGGGGTTTAGGGCTTAGGGTTGAGGGGTTCGGGGCTTAGGGTTCAGGGGTGTAGGGCTTAGGGGTTTAGGGTCAAGAAGTGTCAAGGCTCTGCATGAAGGCTGTGTTCTTGAGGGGTCTTTGGGTTTTTTTTTGTCACGCTCCAGACTTCTAATCATTGCTTGCATTCGAGGAAACCCTGGATAGCCTAGAGCCTGAATGAAACTCTCTATCTTGACTTCTCCTGGCACATGCCAAGCTCCTTCACCCTGAACCCCGCTACACAATCTGCAGTCCCCTAAACCCTTAACCCTTAACCCTAAAGCCCCAGAACCCCCAAGCAACTGAAGGGCCAAGAGATGCCAAGAGCCTCAAGAGTTGTCAAGATCGTTTCAAAGACGCATGACCCGAGATAACTCGAAAAGTCACGTCGGGAATAGGGTTGAAGGGGAACCTCTGTTTAATTTACTTTGGGTGTAAAGCACCCCAACACCTCACAGTCACAGCTCTTCGGTAATTCCTCGCCTGGCCCCTTGCCCTAAACCTCAACCCCGAACCCGTAGACCCGTTCAGTCCCAAGCCCTGGAAATACTACCATCCAAACCACAAATCGGCCAACTGAGTAGGGATGTGGAAGTGCACAGGCTTGGAGCTCAGAGTGATTGTGCTGCCAAAAAAACCACAAAACCCTCATAAACTTCAAACCCAAAGCCTCCAAACCCTGGACTTTTTACCTGCCCTCCACAAAAAGCAAGACACTAAGCAAGCTAGTTCAGAGGTTCCTCTATACTATTTTTGGGGTTCTTTACTATAAATATAGTCTAATGGGCCCCAAAACCCTATTCTATTTATTAAGGCCCCTATATTAGTTCAGAGGTTCCTTTGGGCATGATGTGGCTGGATGGCGAGGGCGAGGATGGGCAGGCCAACCAGGCGGCTACTGAGGCGAACCCGGACCAGGAAGCAACTGGCCGCCCCAATGCCCTACAGGGTCGGAATAAATCGTAATCAGCATTCGTATCCCCGTAATCTTTATCATGGTTATGCAATTTATGTACTAGTTTGAACCCCAAACCCTTTCCTAATTGTGATTGAAGGCCCATGTATTAGATATCTCTGAGCCGCGGAACCCTAAAGCCTAAAACCCTCAACCGTCCCATGAGTATCGATTGTCGGGGAAGATGGGGTCTCCCAACCGGTCGTTGTTCGGGTGCTTGTTTCGGTCCACGTTGGAGAAAGTTGCCGGGTCTGTTTTGCGGCTGATGGGGCATATTGGTAGGATTTTGATTATTGCTTGTGGGTGTTGTGTTGAGTCACTACTATTATTGTTATTCTTATCGTTACTACTACTACTACTACTACTACTACTACTACTACTACCAGTACAGCAACAAACAAACAAACAAACAAACAAACAAACAAACAAACAAACAAACAAACAAACAAACAAACAAACAAACAAACAAACAAAACAAACAAACAAAAAAACAAACAAAACAAAAAAAACAAACAAA